TAGATTTTCTTAATCTGTATTATCGTTTAACTCATTGCGGAAAAACCCGATTGACATATTGCAGGTTTCTTAAATTTCCTAAAAGATTGAGATGGTGGTTAGGAGGTCGTCTACTTCAACTTGCCTGAGGTCCAACTTACAGTTCTGGAGTTAGATTGGTGTAGTCCGCGGCCTGAAGCGCCGCGCACACCTTCAATTTACATGCGGAACAACTTACTCACAGCGGCCGCTGGAAGCAACTTCGATTACATTTTTTCACTTTACACTTAATTTTAAAATTTCCCTCCTCTGCCTATCCTATTTTCCCATCCCCCAAATCTTTATAACCACCGTTGTTGTAGGACAAAATGCTGAGACTAGGGGTATACGAGTGGACCTACATAAGCTACTTTTGCCGCCTATGCTCTAGCCAACTGACCTATGAAGGCACGCCGAGAGCCTTGAATTTAATCACACTTGGATCGATTTACCCATCAAGCCTACTGCACGTATGAAGTCCACCCATACGGACACAGTAAACTGACTGCCCCGGCAGGATCTCCTCAGAAACTCGACCCGAGTCTGATTAAATTCAAGGCTTTCGGTGTGCCCTTGTAGCTCAATTGGTAGAGCGTTGGCTGTGCTAAAGCCTTCCCTGCTGATGTGAGTTCGAATCCCACCAAGACTACGAATTTTCCACCATTGATTTAATTGAATTATTCAAATCTGCCGACCTCCCCCTTAATACTATATGCAACTACTGTTCACGAGTAAACATTTGGGCCTGAGGCGAAACTAAGCGTCTCGAAAATCTAATTAACCAGCGATTTTTCATACAAGGAAGAAGAAGAAAAAACGAAGCATAAGTAGAGAAGGAAATGAAGGCGTAAGCCTTGTTCAATATGTATTAGAAGTAGAAAGAAGGAGGAGGAGGAGGTGGTATATGATTAAATTCATAGCGCGAGGTGGCGCGTTTGTAGCTTAGCGGTTGAACCGTTGGCTTCCGGTAAAGGCCTTCTCTAGTACGCGGGTTCAAATCCCGCCGAACTCCTCGAGTTTTTTAACAATTGGGTCAACTCAATTTAAGCAAATCTGCCAAAGTCCTAATAATTAAGTCAGCCTAGTAGTCATTCTGGTGGATTTTAGATGATTGCTTAGGAAATCCTGCTTGAGCAGTCAGCTTGCTGTTCCGTATTGGTGGATTCCATACGAGCGGTAAGGTTGGCCCGGTAATATCGACCCAAGTTTGATTAAATTCATGGCACCAGATGGGGCGTTTTAACTTCGTGGTTGAAGCGTTGGCTTCCGGTAAAGGCTTTCTCAAATACGCGGCTTCAAATCCCGCCGAACGCTTCAATTTTTTCCACAATCGGGTCAACTCAAATTAAGCAAATCTGCCAAACCTTCTAATAATTTAAAATTCTCTTCAAGCTATGCAATTATGCACTTGAGGCACCTAACGGATGAGCAACTGTGTCGTTTTTTTACCCATGATGGAGTGTCCAGCCTACTCAGAATGCTGTTTGTTTCAAAAAGTCACACAACGAATCCCTTTTTGACTAACAGCAATTCCGCAATGACTCAAGATGGTGGATCGAGTAAGTTGGGTTGAAAATTTTTCGCGGAGGGATGTCCTAAAAATGCTTTAAATCCAGTTCGGATGAAAATATTTAAGGAGATATTTGACTTTTCATTTATATTCGTTTATTTAAACTAGTAAGTACTCGCTGCTGCAGTATAGGACAAGGAGAGAATCTATCCCAAGCTGAGTACTTTCTAATTTTGCGAATTTAAAAGTTCATCTTTAAAAGTTTGAGTAGTTTAAGCAAGTGTGGAGTGGCTTGCACTCTGTGCACACCCGCGATTAGTAAAGCAATCTGAACTATTGCATAGTCTTCATCCGCCGTGCCGTCAGAAAGGTTCTTGAAGTCCATAACAAATACTCTCCGCTAATTTTCAATTTTTCTTGTAAGAGGCGCAGTCTATTTTTATACTCACCCCGCGAAATTTAATCTCTCTAATCAGCGTCTGTGAGCCTTACTACAATACATTTTCTTTCGACAACGCAACGCTGAAAAAGAGAGCTATTTAAGGAGCACCAGAGTCGTTTTTGGATAAATGACAAGGAAAACATTCACTGAAAAATGTTTCATTGCTTAATCTATTATAACATCGCCATTGTAACCACTTTTTAGTCCATCGTAAGAATATAGTTTCAATAATCTCAATGTAAAAGGAGTTCTGTCACAGTGCAAAGCTATGCGGGAGCCCACTCTTGACACCATTGATATTTAAAATGTGTTTTTTTTCGCCCAGGGAGTGTTTCAGGGAGCTGAACCGATGACAATCTGTTAGAGGACGACTGGATGAATAAATTTACTTGGGGCATGTTTTTATCCTTGAACTGGGATATTTTTCTGGGCCCCTCCCATTGAATACGGTCTCGCGTGGCCATGCAATATGATTATATCTCTTTGCTGATCAATGCTGAATGTTTAACCGTAAGAGACATTCTATATTTTGACAAAAGAAGTATGATATTATGGCCTGACCTTGGTTTAGAAGCTCAAAGTGAAGAATGCTTAACACACATCACCAAACACATAAAAGGACTTTGTCGAGGTGTGGACCCTAGCTCAGCTTAGAAACTGGTATTTTACTTGCGTTGTCAAAGAACAAAATGCATAGCTGATCTCCAGTTGCAATGCAATGAACAGATGGTTTCAAGCTGCTGTCTGCTTAACAACACGTTATGGATTGTTAAACACTAGGCTTTTTGCAATTCAAAATTGACGTGAGACCCTATCTGTTGAATGCGTACTCGGACAGTAGACCATTAGGGCTTCACGAACGATGTGTGCTCGATGTTCTGACAAAAAGTTGCCTGAGAAACTGAACGCAAAAAGCTTATCATCCAACTGTACTGGTCTCCCTGGAGGATGGGCAGTAACGAACTCGGAATTTCACGAACCAATGCCTTTACCCGCGAAAATCTAAACAAATCAATAAAGCCTATACATTGAGTTGGTGATTGTTTTAGTGGTTGGTGGGAGCATGACCGTGTTCGGTTTTTGTCGCTCATTCATTAGGCCCAATTTAATAATCAAAATACATAGCAATCTCCAAAACTCACGACCTCACTGATTTACACGGATACAGAGTTGAGACGGAGTAGCCATCAGGATATTTAGAACATCGATTCAGATGAGGTTCACCTTGCCAATACAAGCGAACATGCGAGTCTCAGGAAGTACTTGAGAAGAAGACGACTCGATCGCTGGGACAAGGTTCATCTTAT